GCTTCAGAAAGGCACACTGCTCAATGTTCTCAACGACATTCGGTGAGAGTGACGCTGATGACGTGGCGCTTTTCAAACGGTTTTTGCATAGTGTGAGAGATCCTACATTGTGTATGAAACTGAGCTTCGGAAGGCTGTTTTTGAATTCTATCATACTCGAACGTGTTGCTCCTACCCTTCCTTACTGATGAGCACGGAGGGAGGATACCATGGTTGTCTAGTTTCCGTCTAAGGGCACGTGCGAAACGGAAACTAGACTACTTCCTTGAAATCAATAAAACCAAAAAATTATATTCAAGAGAAATTTATTATATGAGAAATATATCACGGTTTTAAACATTAAATCAATCAAATCACATTTAAATCACATTAGTATGACAACTGCTGTTCAAAGACAGTCCTCGCGCTCAAGCAATTAACAGACGTCCCTCCTATGCAAGTGTCTCGTCCTCAGACTATGAGTTTATCTCACTTTCGCTTCTCCACAGCAATAACAGAGGCGGTGCGGCCCCATAAGTGGCAGATCCGAGCGATTAGTGAGCAAGAGGCGGCAGGATGGGTACGGATTTTCTCGCATAAAACGAGCTGGAAACTCGTCCATAGAGGGCCGGTCCGCGATCACGTATAGAAGTGAAAAACATGGCGCCGGTCAGTCGCCTTTCAGTGAAAAACGAAGCTGCAGGACGAAAAAGCATGAAAATCGTCACTTGTACGGTCGTAGAGTTCTTATCGGGGAATCAGCTGTGCGGATGAGGGCGTAGTGTTGGAGATGGAGTTAATTGGGCACGCAAACTATGGTCGCAATGGGGTTCTATCTAGCGCAGTTGGCACGTTTTCCTTCGCTATGGAATCACTCAGCATCTGTCGTCTGTATGCGAAGCCCTGATCCTATATCTGTGATAATGAATGATAGCGGGCTTCGCTTTTAAACTGAGGTGTTCGCCATTTTTTTTTCTGCTTTTTTTGCCTCCCCCAAAGAGTCTTGTAGTGATTATGGGTTCATATCGAATGCCTTGACTTGATCCGCAATATAGGATGGCGAGGTTTTGTCTTCAAAGGTTAAAGGCAGTTGGCACGATGATTTCGGTGCTCGGCCTAAAATGCTAGTAGGGCGCTATATAGTGGGGAAATGGCGAAAGAACGGAGTGAAACGGTCAAAATCCTCTATATCCATTTAGGAAGGAGCCTCCGACTCAAAAATCGATTTCGGACGAGTTTCCCGTAGGCATCTTGCCAATAACCGCTACCGAAGATACGGCTGCATATGTGTACTCATATATCCATGCAGCATCACGGCCGCTTCATACCAATCCCTTCGCTTCATAATTTGCTTAGCAAATGAATGAATACGAGCGTCAGGAACGGTCGTCCATTTGTGGGCGGGCGGGCGTGGGGCGTTTGGGTCGGAATGTTGTGGCTTGATAGGGCCCTTATAAGGGCACCTTCCTTGGAAAAGGCATTATGCAGCGCCTGCTCAGGGTCGCGGAATTCCGTCCTGCCAGGCGTATTAATCCTACTCGTCTTGGGGGATTTATCGTGCCAACTGCCTTTAACGCCGCAGTTCACGCTCTTATCTCAAGATTGCTGAGTTACGCGCAAAACATGGTGAGCCTTCGTTATAAGCCGGTTAGCCTATTTCGGCAATTGACCGTGAGCCTAAAGGCTTTTCATGTTCAAAGGCGGCCCCTGTAGTGTAGCGGGTAGCTCACTCGCGCGGTCAGCGCTGGTTGCAGCTTTCAGTCCAGCCTGTGGTCTGATTTTTGCCTTAACTCAACGTTCTTATGGAAAGCTGAGATTATTTTGGCTGAACGGCTCTGGGAGTGCCGGAGAGTGGAGTGGAATAGAAATCCACGAAACTGCTTCATCCAGAGCCTTTGTGCTGTCACTTGCCGCTTCATCACATTTGTCAAATGCAAACTATTATGCTCACTATAGATAATACTTATAATACTCACTATAGATGACGACGGGTGGGGGTATTGTCGCTGCTTAGCTGCTTCACTACTTTACGAGTCTCACCCTGGTGAAACCTGTAAACCTTTGTGGAGTTGGAGCAAGCTCGTTGAGCCCTCATGATAAAATATGTCAACTGCTGCAAGCTCATGAAATAGTTTTCTAGCTAGCTCGACAGCTCCATGGGAATTGGCAAAGGTGCAAAATGTCCCCTCCCACGTCGCCGAACTGCGCCGTTTCATACAGTAGTTAGTCATGAAACATTAACATTTACTTCCGCATGTGCTCTGATTTCTTTTAACATCTGCCTATTCTTATTCTATACATAATATAAAAATATAATTGCACGTTATTCAAGTTATTCAACAAAAATCAAACCCCATTTAGTTCCCATCCACTGGGAAATAACATGCACTCCGATCCGGGCTCATTATCTTGTTTTTCAACACTGAAACTTCCAGGCTTAGCTTACATCTGACTGTGTCATTCCGAAATCCATTAACCATGAGACGAGGTACTGTAGCTTCATGTTGAGTGCAGAGGCTGTTGGTACGACAGCGCAGATGAGAACAAGCAAGAATGAATACCTAAATGTGGGTTGTTTACTGTCAGTATCTAGTAAAAAATAAGTAATAAATCTACATCGTCTTCTTAAATACGAGCAGGGCATGAAGGAAAGGTTCAAACCCCCTCTTCGTACCACAGAAATCAAAAAGGAAAGAGGGCGGTATTGCAATGTTGCAGCCCGCTTCGAAAGCTATACCACGTTGAACGCACTGAAGAATCACCTTTACTTGTGCACTTTTCGAGAGGGTATGCCTTTCTCCCTAGGATGGATGGGAATCACCAATGAGAAAAGCGCAATCGTTCAGGGACCTCGAGCCGCACAGCGTCTAGACGGAATCTGCCGTTGAAGTCCCTCTATCAAAGCGTAGGATGAGTTAGTAGCCCTCGTCGCAGGGAATGGTAAGGTGGCGCAAGAAGAGGAAATGGACATAGGAAAGGGAGGGACACGAAATGGAACAACAGTAGAGCAAGCTGCAAGAGCCACATACATATGCCGATAATCCAAGCCACAAATGATTGGCTATATTGCAACTCTCCCAATAAAATTACTGGGACAGGGCTACTGAACAGCTTTGTACGTGGTGCCCGGGTACCTGCAGTAGTAGGATTGTTTTCAAAATTGGGAGGCAGGGTACAGCATGAGAGAATGTGCGAAATCTCGGTGTGAGTACGACCCCCTCCCCCTCGAAGAGGGTCCAGTTACGACCCCCCCCCCCCTCCTGCTCTAACTGACAACCAGATGCATGTTCACACCAAATGGCTTCCTGAAATGGAATCTGGATTTTTCAAAGGCGGACTCTACTCTGCTCTAAAATCCAGGCAATAAGGCTGTTTCAGCCTCATGCAATATGAGGCTGAACAACAGCCTCGCATTACCTACAATTTTGTCTTAGGATTCAAAATAAAACTCCTCGTTCGATAACTATGTATGACATGCAACTTGTAAAAGAAACACAATTGAAATAGCGGCTAATGGTGATCATTGATAGGCTGAATTGGTGAAAAAATAGCCCCAAGGTGAGCGTGTCAGGCCCCAGATGTGCATTCAATGAATGGTGACGGGAAATCATGAAAACATGCACGACACAACAAAGCGAAACATGAAAAATACAAAAAAAATGCGGAGCCAAATGAAAAAAGGATAACCAGGCGGCAGTATATCGTTCTATACTTGGCTATTATCGATCGCAACGTTGCGACCGCTTTCATTGGAAAAACGTCATTGGAGCGCGGTTGTTGGGCCTGCCAACGTCCTGGGGTCTTTTCGGGGGGGTTATATCTCTTTGAACAGCATGCAAAGGGAATGTTCCACTGTTGCGTTTTCTACACAGTTGCAAGTCTGAATGTTTCCCGTTCGTGAAATATTTCGGATGGGTTTCGGATCGGCTAGGGGTAAATGGCAAGCGGGTTTTTATGCTTCACACGAGGTTTACTTTTGAACGCAATTTCATCAGGATTAAAATCGTCTTGAAACCGCCCTATCTTTCCTCTTTCCAGTAAGCTTTACAGTTTCAGGAGATATTTCAGATGGGACGCAGACGCGCTACCCTCTAACCCACCCGAAAAACCTTCTGTGCCATTGGAGGATACACCTTCGGAAACTTCAGTGTGCCTTCAAAACACATATTTCCCTTCAAATGAGTGAAAGAGGCTATCACTGATCGATTTGGTCCGAGTGTGCGCCGTGCATTACGCTCCTACGCAGAGGTGGTGGAAAGGTGTAAATTCTGATTTCAGGTGCTTTTATCCATGCAAGCAGATGTTTGTTTAGGGTTTGGAAAGGACAATACGCACCTGTTTGAGACGTATTATTTAGTCATCTACGTACTTACGAGTTCATGCTATTAACTGATATTTATTTATTTATTTATTTATTATTTATTTATTTATTCTTGATATTCTTGCTATATTGCTAATGAATTTTTTATTATTTTGTAGTCCTATTTACATCCGGGTCTTCTGCAGCTTTCCGTCCGTTCCATCAAACTTAGCAATGACACTTTTGTACTGTTTGATGCCTAGCGAGCCTACTTTTGCGATACTCCCCACGTCCCCCGCGGCCAAGTACGAACCCATTTTTGGGGATTTCGCATGAAAAGAGGGCTGTTAAACGTAGCAGTTAAATCTGTCAAGATACATTCCATAATAATATTTCAATTTTTTCAACACCGATTGACTTTCATAGCTCCCATCTCCCTCACTAGCAACTGATAATTGTTCGAGGCATTGCCCGGCTTCCGAGTGCCCCGTGAGAATTCGACACCCACCCGCCCCCAGCGGCCAGAGTGCGGAGACCCGCCCTATGGTTCGCACAATCGAGCTGTACACGATGGCTGTGGCCTTGTTGGTCGCAAAACAACCTTTCAAAGAACAATCGTTACAATAGACAATGACATTTCATGACATTCATTAAGGTCAAAAGCTAAGCAAAACGGTAAAAGAAAGGTCTGACCTGTAAGTGCTGTGGCCTAATATGTCTCTCAGAGAAATATTCTTGTGAGTCTCGTAAGTTCTCTCAGTCTCCATCTCCTCGATTTTGCTTCATCTGAAAACTTCACATCCGATACATATTTTTGAATAGATTTTCATAAAATAATCACGTTCTTTTTGTTTGTTCAGAGTAGTACCGAGTACCATTCATGGATGAACGACACGTTTTTATCTGCACACAATTGAACATTCACTGGCTAGGACGTCCTGCAGCTGGGGAAAATTTCCGGAAAATGTGACCCCCGCCCCCAATTACACTCGAGATCCCTGAGATCGGGTAGGCGTGGCCGCATGTTTCAACTTACCCTCAAGGCGTCTACGTTTCTGATGCGATATTTTCATCTCGACACTATCGTTGTCGTGTCTCTGTCCAACATAGAACAAGATACAGTTTTCCCAGACTGGAATATTTTTGTATTCCACTAAATACCCAGTTCCTTACAGTGTTCGAATGCCCCGCCTACCCGATCTGGAATTTCGAGTTTACTTCCTGTTCTGCGAACCTTCCCCTCTACCCTAATTACTATGCTACCTCTCTTGCTAACTTTTCCAAGCTTCCTAGCACTTCTCCCCGAAGTTGTTTCGTGCGGGAGGTAGGGTATATAGCAAAAGAGAAACGGGAAAAACCGCGAGAAAACGAAAAGGGCGGTGAAACAGGAAAACCAACTGTCAGAAAAAGACCAAATGAGACCGAACGACCGATTTCCTAAGGTAGGACGTGCCCTTTCAGCAGGGTCACATGTATGACGAGACATCTTTGAAAGGGTGCCGCATTCAGTCGCTTGCTAATTGGGGGAAGGTCCCTTGCCTTGCAAACACGTTTCTGTTTCTGGTACTTTCTCCATTTGCTAATTCTTCTGGTGTTCGTATACGTCGAGCGAAAGGGGTATTTACACCCCCCCCCTCTCCTCTCCTCCTTTAACCCCGCTTAGACATGATTGGCGAGGGGAGGGTCCGTGCTAATAAGAGAGAAATGACATGACATGAAAAGATGAAAAATGATCCTGCAATTAGGCTCACTACCTAAACTTTCATCTCATGGCACACTGTGGACATGTGAATACCTACGCTCGCTTCGTCTCTCTAGCACACATGGCTCAGTGCGTGTGGGCGCCGCCACCGCGCAATGCGATGACGCTTGCAAACGTTATTTCAGTTCCATGCGATCCGTGAGAGCGTGTGATGATACAATTTCCCCGGCATACAAGTTGATGGTGAATTTCTAATGTCTGATGCTCAATTTTGGCCCAACGAACTGCTGATCGTCATTTTTCTTTGTGTGTTCAACAAGACGGGGGTCTAATGTGGTTCTTTGATTAATTTTTAATTCTGGGGACCAACCTAAGTTGTAACGATCGCCGTAGTAGTATTGTAACGCTGCTCTGGCCTCTTCTTCCTTACCATCCTAAAAACATTTTGTACTGACTGCTCCCTGCTTTACTCAAAATTCATTCAATATGTCATTCGACAAATATTTGAAATAAATATATCTGATTACCTGAATGTACAGCTGCTTAGGACTCTGAGGGAAATGAATGGCTATTAATAGGTGAACAACTGCCATCAGACCGCAGATTGTTGGAATCACATACCACAGGGTGTCGGAGCCGACAAGACTTGGAAGGCAGAGCGGTGTGATAACAAGTACAGCTATTACAGCACCGGAATTAACCACCATTGATGTGAATCCTGAAGAGGAACTGCGGCTCAGTTGAATTGAACACTCATAGAAATGGTTCTATAGAGGTTTAGATTCAGTCACTACAGCCTATTTGTCGTCATTATGCACCTATAGAATGTTTGAGAGGAACCTCGCTTGTCGTCGGGACTGCATTCGGCCATGTAGATGAACAGTACGACTTTCAGAGCCATCAGTAGACCACTCATGAAGTGTCCTAGCACGAAGAATTCAAAGCGGAGTGTGATGTACGAAAGAATCATTGCACCAGCGCCAATCATTCCCAGAATACACCTAAAGTAAATGATTTGAATAACAAACTAATGTGTTCCCTAACAATAGCCTGCAGTCAGGATGAGGAAGTAGTTAGAGCTTCCAGAGACCTTCCTCACTAACTAGTCAAGCTTCGGGCGAACTGGGACCATGGTCAATGCAGGTTGCCATACGGGGGAGGTGGGGGAGTGACCAAATATTGCATACGCTCCAACTCGGCCAGTCGAGCTCATCCCCACGTAGATGGGTGCCAGAGTTGCCTGGGAGTCACTGTTCAGACTAAGTGCGCTCTAAAGTTGCTATGGTTTGGATGGAAGGGGAGTGCGTTGCCCATCCTGTTGGGATTGACAGCGCGGAAATCCTTCATTCTTGACGTCAACACTGTGAAGAATTCCGTAGTATTGCTGCGACTCTCGAGGTTTTAGGTGGAATTCTTATTTCAACAGCTCTAGTGTTTCGGACGTGAGTCGTCTTTTCAGAGGCCACAACCTCCACTGTAAAGAGAAGCACAGCAATGTACGAGCTACTGAAACAAGAATGCCAGGTTACACAAGAGAGAAGCTCGGAGAAATTACAGTGCGACGAATGCGGCAGGACATTTTGAGCACCTCGTTTAAAGCAGTTGGCGCGCGATCTTGCTACTCTGCCTTATAATGGAGGCGCGGTTGCTAAATGGCGAAAAGACACGCATGAGAAGATGGCTCGGAAACCTGCCCAAAAAACAGCCTTCGCCCTCCCACACGACTTCTTTGGACGTAAGAGGAGAGCTATTTTGGGACGAGTTTCCCCGTTGGCAGCGCCGGCAAAAAGCGCATACGTAGATCGGCTGCAGTGCTGTACTCGTATAACCGATGCGCATTCAGCTGCTCCATATTAATCCATATGCTCATACTGTACTTCGCAAATGAAGCTATAGGACCATCAGGATCGGTCGGCAGTTTGGGAGGGCGGGCGCGGGGAGCGTCCGGGTCGGTATATTGTAGGTTGACAGGGCGCTGTAGGGGGTACCTTCCTCGGAAACGGCACAACGCAGCGCTTACTCAGGGGCGGTCAAATGGAGGTTTGCTTAGACGGTATTGGTCCTGCACGACTTGGAAAATGGTCATGCTAACTGCCTTTGAATCACAACCGATACTTACCCTTACTGTCCTCAGGGTCGCCAATTTTAGTTAGCTTGGGGGTCTTCTTTCTGTGGCCTGTACAGGGGGGGCCAAAAAAAAGTCATTTTGCCTCCATGACTTTCAAGGCGCTATAAGTTACACTTTATTAAATTTTTATCGGACATTTTTACTACCATATTAAAGAGCACATTAAATACTATAATGCTCCGCCACAGCCTTCTGGAGGACCTGCATCGAGAGATTCGGCCGCGCGAAAGTGAGTGGGTACCGGAGTTGAGCGAGATCGTTGATTTCTCCGCCACCGTAGACCACCCTCTTGAACTCCGCCCGACTAGGTAACTGAGTGGATTCAGGTCAGGGGACATACTTCAATATTACATCTTCTCTTCAGAGTACGCCCCCCAAACGTCCTGTGCCGTTAGCGAAGTAGCGGGGTTTCTCCCCTTTGATTCCATGTGGTGGCACCCAAACCTGTAGCAGCACAAGGTCTCCAAGAAGGTACGGGCGACCACATGTAGGGAGGATATTCTTCTCGAGTTACTTGATGTAACCGCCAGCGCTCACCTTCAGTCGGGGTCTACAAAGAAAATATCGGTCTTCCCCTTTCCAGGTACCCCGGTCCATACCATCAACTCGCGCCTCGGCGAATACGGTGAAGATGATGTCCTAGACCCGTAGCGACGTTGCCGAGCTGGTCGATTGTGGGGGGTCTTGCAGATCAAGAGTACTGAGCTCCAGGTAGCTATCTGTGGATGATTCATTCAGGAAGTTTCGCAGCTGTTTGGAGGCGACGTGAATTCCAAAGGCTGTTTCCACTCAGGCCGCGACTGGAGATGACTTCATATTTTGGTGTACATGAAGGTGAATGGCGGCAGCCGGCTCCTGCTTATAGAGGAAGATCTTGGGTATCTTCCGCCCTGGTACTCATATCCACTTCCCCTGTCTGGGCTGCGAAAACTTCGTTGATATGTGGCTCGGCCGAAATGACTTTTTTTTTTGGCCCCCCTGTATACAGAACTAGGCTAGTAGCTCCGCCAGTATTTTCAGATTTCAAGATTCATTACTGTAGCATTAGATAATGGGAAGAGTAAAAATAGCAGACCTCAAATTGACGGCTATTTCTTTTCTTCCGAACTGTTTCATGAGCTTCCCCATTATCAGAAATCCAATCAGGAGCCCCAACATCATCGTTGATGCACTAGCAGCGTAGATCCATTCGAACCTGCAAATACTGTGCTAATTCATGTTGATAACTGATGCGTTCTACTTTTACCGTTAAACAAGGCGGTGCGCGCTTTGGGAATGGCCAGAGAAGGGCGAAAGAAAATTCTAGGGTTCAGAGGACTTCAATAGATAAGTCCCCTGAATTTTTGGACGAAGATCAGGCGATTTTTGAATACGTTTTCCACATGCGCACACTAGCGATCGGTTGAAAAAATTTCACAATTAAATAAAGTTTCGCCCGAATGAGAAAATTGTTCTCCTTGGCGGACTTTCAACCATCAGAGCCCCAGCAAGAACACAGCAAAAATCGATAGTGCCTATGTGCCCCGAATGAAACTCTCAATATGGAATAAATTTTTGGGTATGGGTTCCACGACTTCAAAGAAGCCCTTGCGAGGTGCAGTGGGCGTGATTGCAAACATTATTTGAACATGGCGTAGGGTAGGGTGTGCGGGGGGCAGTGTTGTGTATTGAGACAACTGTCATCTTGTCATTTTGGTGAAGAAGTGACCAAACTGTACCAAAATTAAAACATCCCATTGAAAGAGTAGCTGAGTCACATTCGAAGGACTAACCTAAGCAACCACGAACACCTGATCACAGAGACTTGGGTAGCATCTCAGGAAAAAACATTCCTTGTTACTGAGACGGAGTGGGCGCGCATTTTCAATATGACATAGAATGGGACTCGTGGGATATTTCAGCACGAACTGCCATCTTGTTCTGTGTTCAACAAAGACATGACCATAACTGTCTCAAAATCTCACCAAAAGCGCAGCCACCGCCACGTCTAGTTGGACTGAAGAATGCAGCCACGCCTACCACATTTCAGGGATTTCGAGTGTACATCTAATGGCGGCACTATTATCGCAGGGGGTACCTTATAATTTTTTATTTTGTGTTTCCATATCCCTGTCTCATCTTATACATTATTATTGCGAGGTAGCATGATTAAAAAGAAATCACCAATTCTCCAGCTTTCCTCTTGGCTAACCTCGGCATTGTTGTATGATTCGTTAATACTGCTGTGCCTCTCGAGGTTTTCAGGTGGAATATTTATTTAGCGGCCTAACGTTTCGACGTGGTCGTCTTCTTCAGAGGCCTAAACGCGTTTCGAGTTAAGGAGATGAACACTACCCCGCCAAGCAGGAATCCTAGGATGAACAGCAGAGATGAGTGTCCGTCAATAGCTAATGACTTTTTGCCGTTCATGCCATACTGCGAATTATAAGTAGCGGTGTTACGTGCGTCTCCTTAACATTATACGTATAAGGAGACCCTAGAGTAGGTCTCATTCGCCACTGACTAACACCCGCATGTGACGGCGGATTTGCGGTGGAACCCTGGTGAGTGCGCTTTTCGAATTCTGTAGAATTTTCTTGTTGAGTTCCGAACACATCATCGGAACTGCTAGGGTTGTTGGGCGCTTGGCGGGGTAGTGTTCATCTCCTTAACGCGAAACGCGTTTAGGCCTCTGAGAAGACGACCACGTCGAAACGTTAGGCCGCTAAATAAATGTTCCACCTGAAAACCTCGAGAGGCACAGCAGGTAGTAATGAATCACAAAGTTGTTTTAAAATTAATATTAGCAGCAAGCAATTGTGTTCCAAAGGCACACAACATGACGCGCAGTGCATAGATGGAGTAGTCGATGAATGTGTTTTAACGAGCGTTTAGTGTAAGCAGCTGAGCGTCAAGCGAATGACGTGGTTTTGAACGTCATATTTTGCAGATTACAGTTCTTGCAGTGTTTCAAATTGTGCTTGATTCTCTGACTCAGCAGGTTTCTCTCAACACACGCTTTTACGGCTGCCTCACCTGCTCATACGACCCTCCTTCTCACGCTAACGACTCTTGTATATTTGTCTCCACGCTTTGAGGCTGCGACCACAGCCCATTTTAAGTTGCTATTCAGAGAATTCGATCTCCCCGCAGCTTATCACCAGCGAACGAGTTCTTTCACTGAAATACTCTTCTTTAAGCGAAAACAACAAGGCAAAGTTACCTAGTTCCTAGTGGAGGAAAATACAAATAGAGGTTGATTCGTATACTTCCTTTTTCAATGGCTCCTCTCTGTCACACTTGCCACCCTTCAGGACCAAGGAGTAGGTTCTGTTCCTACTTCCACACACAATAACAAATTCAGACTATCGCATGACTATCAGCTGGAATGATAAGAAACCCATCATGTGAGAGGATTAGTAATTTCAGTCATTCAACTTACAACGAGCATGAAAAGGCGAAACAAAAACATGTACCACTTAATGGCCCCGCTGTCGTTATCAGAGCTTCTGTACATGTAATTTGAATATGAAATCCATTCTCTAGCGAAATTGAGCGGAAGGATAAAGGCTCCAGTAATTGTCTCATTTGAATGTGTATTAACAATGTGAAACTCCAAAAGTTTATTCCAAAAAACTCAAAAGACAGCAAAAGTCTCAAAAGTTTTTTAAAATATATCTTATCTGGCTATATTTCGGTGCGTAGCACCTTCTTCAGGCCTGAAATTATTTAGCTTGTTTTATGCAGAATATGAGCCTACAGAGATGTAACCCGCACGGACTCCCCCCATACGAAGGCCACTTAGCACAGAAATATCCTGGCCAACCCACCCTAACCACACCCTTAAATAGTGGGATGTGACGCGATCACATTATGACTTG